TGCTCGACACTAACTCCTTTGATGACGACTCGTCCTCTAAGAAACAGATGAAACGCAGATCTCAGACCGTGACTGAAGGATCCACTTCTAAACGCGGCCGAAGACCATCTGAGGCAACTCCCAGAGGCCGGGGAGGAAGAGGACGCGGTGGCCGAGGAGGTAGAGGACGTGGCGGCAGAGGTCGCGGTCGGAAACGAGAAGAATGGGAGATGTCTTCCGAAGAGGAAGAAGAAGAAGAGGTATCTCTCGATGACTCAGAAGAGGAAGAGAAGGAGGAAGAAGTGGAGGAAAATGAGTCGTCAAACACTTACGAAAACGTTGTTCAACCGACAGAACAAAGTGTGTTTCAAACACAACTCGACTACACATTAGGTCTTCAACAACAAGAGTACGCTTTGGGGGCACCGGTCGAGGCAGTGGCCACTCCGAGAGGAGGTCGTGGTCGTGGACGGGGACGGGGCAGAGGACAGGCCACCAGCTCTGGCCGCGGACGTGGCGGAGGCGGTCGTCGTAAAAAAGAGGCCGAAGAAACCGTTTCGGACGACAACAGTGCCGTTGAGAGTGAGTTGTCCACCAATACGCCAAACGCCGGTATCAATGCCCTAAGGATTTGGTTGAGACAGTCAACCAGTTATATGAACACCAAAAACATCCTTCTCTTGCATCAGAACTATTTGAGTGAAATATTCTGCAAATTCGTGGAAGAGATCTGTCAGGTTCACGGACAGGCATACACTCCCGACTACATCTATATGCTGTGTCTCGACCTTCAGAAACATTTGGCTCAAAACAATCGTTTGGATAACATATTTATGGACCCCTCGTACAAACAGTTCATTCACGCAATCCATACGCGTTTAGTTGACTACAACCCGCAGCTCACGTGCATCCAAGAGGAGCACCTCTGGGAGTGCGGACAACTGGGCGCCCACTCGCCAACAGTGCTCCTCAACACTGTCATGTTTTTGTCGACCAAATACTTCCATATGGTTCAGTTGGAAGAGCACACGTCCTTCTCATTCAGTAATCTTAGCAAACAGTGGGCCATCGATGGCACCCAATGCCTGGTCTTTCAGTCGGGACGCGGACGCAAGAAGAGGACACTCACGCTCTACGAGAACGTCGAGAATCAACTTCGATGTCCTGTCAAACTCTTTGAGTTCTATCTCTCCAAATGGTATTCTGTTTTCAATTTTTATTCATTTGTTTCAATTACTCATAAATTCTGTGTTTCAGTCCCGAGAATGTCACTCAAAGACGTGACATGTTTTACTTGTATCCCATCGAGGGCTGTGTTCCCGACAGTATGACCTGGTATTCATCGAACCCTATGACCAACGCTTCGGTGACTAAAATGTTGAAAAGAATTCTTGTGGTGCGAGAGATAGTTGCCATCAGTGGTACTGCCACTTACTGATCATTCAATCATTTAACACAATAATTGTGTCGTTCATTAATACCGTAATAATTATAATTGTTGTTTTTGATTAAAGTTTAATTCTAAATCACATTAATTGTGTGTATCATACAGTACTTTATTAATCTATACCTACTGTACCGTATAACCCAAATATTGCAATTATTTAGCTAGTTTGCTTATCATTTCATTGACATTAATACCGTACATACCATAATTGCATTCAAATAAATGTGTTCAATTAAAGCCAAATTTATGCTTAATTTTATAATTATTCAATGTTGACAATAAAATAAATTACATTATTTAAAATATTTGTTTTGAATTGATTTTAAGTTTCGAAAATGTATTCCGGTACGAATATTCTTTAACTGTACGGTAAGTTTATTTTTAGTATTAATAGTTATAGTAATTATTAAATAATATACATAATGGGGGTCCTATTAATCATACAATTATCATGTATATGATTGTCAAATGTGCTAAATCAATCTATACCATGATAGAAATTACACTTCTAATTGTACACTGATTACCAGGGTATTTATGCTCTTTCACACAATTGAATGGCAATAACGTTATTGACTGGAGACTCGCACACAGAGTCACACCAATTGATGCAAAAATAAACACTTTTGAAATGATGGACAACACGTGTGAAGACTTTCTCGCATTTCAGGTCTGTTTCACCGATCAGTCAATTGATTGGCAGTTCATCTCAATGTAGATCTGTTGCCAAACCTTAGGAAGCGCTCAAAAAGAGCCGTAAAATGGATGACAATATCATTNTCCTAAATTGATTACTCATTTCATTATCTAATGTCTTATAAAACATATAAAATGAAGTCATTTAAGGTCTCATCACAAGTCAAACGCTAAGATTGGAGGGCTTATAGAAAGTCCGACACCTCTCGTAAAACACCTTCAAAAGCAATCAAAGTTTGGATCAGTTATAGTGACAAATAATTTCATAATCTCAGAACCTTTAGAGTCCTATCTTTGACCACTTCCTCTACATTGAGTTCATTTTGCATTAATCTTAGTCTCGTCTGCTGTTTGCGGAGACTTTTCATAACATCGACGTTGTCTTCATTGACCTGTCGTTCATCCTTCAGGTGTTTCACACGACTCGACACAACACTAATGCACTGTTTTATTGAGTTCTCTCTTTGGGTGTAAGAGTTTTCTATCTTTGGATCAAATGAGACCATAAAGAGTATTATTATTACCGGTATATCAAGTGATGGTCTAATGGTGTCTAAAACCTGTTCATATAATTGTCTGCATTGCTGTCCGGCATCTGAGGTCTTGTTTGCAAAAGAATCGGTCGGAAGAGAAGTATTGAGTAAATGAATGATATTGTCATCCATTTTACGGCTCTTTTTGAGCGCTTCCTAAGGTTTGGTAACAGATCTACATTGAGATGAACTGCCAATCAATTGACTGATCGGTGAAACAGACCTGAAATGCGAGAAAGTCTTCACACGTGTTGTCCATCATTTCAAAAGTGTTTATATTTGCATCAATTGGTGTGACTCTGTGTGCGAGTCTCCAGTCAATAACGTTATTGCCATTCAATTGTGTGCTCTCTCACCATAAATACCCGCAATTGTAATCAGTGTACAATTAGCAGTATAATTACTATCATAGCATAGATTGATTAAGCACATTTGAAAATCATATATGATCAATAGGACCCTCCATTATGTATATTATTTAATAATTACTATAAGTTATAGTCTACAACTATTAATACTAAAAATCAACTTACCGTACAGTTAAAGAATATTCGTACCGGAATACATTCTCGAAACTTAAAATCAATTAAAAACAAATATTTTAAATAATGTAATTTATTTTATTGTCAACATTGAATAATTATAAAATTAAGCATAAATTTGGCTTTAATTGAACACATTTATTTGAATGCAATTATGGTATGTACCGTATTAATATGTAGTATATTAATATGTCAATGAAATGATAAGCAAACTAGCTAAATAATTGCAATAAGTACTGTATGATACACACAATTAAAGTGATTTAGAATTAAACTTTAATCAAAAACAATAATTATAATTATAATTATAATTACAGTATTAATGAACGACACAATTATTGTGTTAAATGATTGAATGATCAGTAAGTGGCGGTACCACTGATGGCAACGATCTCTCGCACCACAAGAATTCTTTTCAACATTTTAGTCACCGAAGCGTTGGTCATAGGGTTCGATGAATACCAGGTCATACTGTCGGGAACACAGCCCTCGATGGGATACAAGTAAAACATGTCAC